CTTAAAGGAGCATCAGACCACCTGGAAGATTGTAAAAAACGGACCTCTGGGCCCCATCCCCAGAGTTTCTGATTCTGTCAGTCTTGGGTAAAGGAACCTGTATTTCTAACGAGGTCCCATGGGGAGCTGCTGCTGCTGATCTAGAATCGACAGGTAGCTAGCAGAAAGGGTGGGATGGATCTGGGGCGAAAACCGTAGAAGTCTGAGTCAGACAGTCTGACTCCAGTGCACACACAGAACGACCCCACCGCACTTCCATCCAGGGCATCCCTGACACTGATGGGTCCAACTGTGATGTCTGTATGAGCTTGGAATCTGTTTTCCACAAATCAGTGGGTCTGATTTCCTTAACACAGCTGGCCCAGCTTTTGATAGGTCCATATTTAGTCATGCGAACACTTACTCATTTATTCATTTACTTGCCCTTCCTTTGGACAAACGGAGCACCTAAGATGGGCTGGGTGTTCAGTAGAAGTGCAGTGTGGGGCCCAGGATTAATAAACACCATCATGTCCCATAGGAGAGCACAGTGTGTGGGGGGGGGTGGGGGGGGCAGGAGAAGACATGTGGCCAGGTGGTGAACAAATGCCTCAGTGGATGCTGCCAGCAAGACAGTACACAAAGCCAAAAGCAAGGACAGGGTCACTGCCCAGGAGGCTTGGTGAAGCTTCCAGGAGAAGATGAGTCAGAAGAAGGGATGAGGGGAAAGGTAGTCAAGAAGGCAGAGTATGTGCAAAGGCCCAGAGACATGGAATGGCAGCTCCGCACGGAGACAGTGTGGGTTTCTAAGTGGGGAAGGGAGAGTGATGCGACGTGGAAAGGAAGGCAGGACCCTTAGAGGATGGAGGACCTCTAAGGTGAAGGTCTGGGGAGCCCTAGTGAGTTTAACAGGGGAGAGAAGGGGTCAGAGCTGCATGGCTGCAGGGGAGAGGATGGGAGGGCACCAGACTGGGCGCCCATAGACCACGGCCAAGATAAGGGGGTTGGTAGGGAGAGATCGCTGACCCAACATGAGCATTGACAGACTGGGGTCCGGGGAGGGTGGAATCAAGGATGGCACCCTGATTTCCAGGTTGGGGGTGGGTGCTGTGGTGTGGGAGATGGGGGTGGCCCTAGTTGGTGGGGGCGCAGGAAGCAGAGTGATCTGGTGGTTTTGCAGGGCTCTTCGTGCCTCGAGAATCCCCAACGTGTCTGCCATGGTCCTATGGTTCCCCAGGGACACCGAGTGGCCCACACCCCACCTCCCCTGTGAGGCCGCTTCCCACTCAAGCTGCCGGTTCCCAGGCTGAGCTATTCCAAAGGCCTCTGCAAACCTCAAGCTCTGGAGAAAAGGTAGCTGGCATCCATCTGCTGCCTCCACCTCTTACCTTTAAAAGAGGACCCGTGGGAGGCAGGTGGGAGTGTCCTGCCTTACAGGGAAGTTTGATGCAGGACGCAGCTGTTCTACTGATGAGGAAAGAGACGTGATAGCCGGGGTCCCCCAGTTCATTGCCCATAGCAGCAGGTCTCTTAAGGCCCCGAGTGGGGCCCCCTGATAAGGCAGGAAGGGGAAACCTCAGGTGGCTGGGGGTGGGGGGCAGGGGGTTGGAAAGAATGGAGTGGGTGCATGGGGGCCACCTAGGGGCAGGGCAATTTAGAAGAAATCTGGGATCTGGCCGTGGTGCCTGGGAAGAGACAGAAGTCTTACCTTGACCTGGTCCAGCACCACCAGGGGGCCATTGACGCTGCACACGGTCCTGTAGGCTGCAGGGGGGAATGGGTGAGGGTCTCACCCCGACACCCCAACAGACACACACACACACACAGGCATCCCCTGCCTTCCCTTCCTCTAAGCACCACCCCCACTCCTCTCCGGGGCCTGGGCCGTCAGGGTCATTAGCTGTGACAGGGCCAGCCACCATTGCTGTAAGGGTCATGCCCCTGCCTGCAGGGCCCCCCGCCGCTTCGGACACCTGCAGGAGGCTGGGGGAGGGCCAGGGCAAGAGCAGAGGCCCCTCGGAGTCCTCCCCCTCCCCTCCCCAGCCCTGCAGTGGCCTTTCTCATCCCTGAGGAAGCTCCCCTCTGGCCTCAGCCCCCACCTAACTGGCTCCCTCCTCTCTGACCCACAACATTTTCCAAAAGCTAGAGAGGTAATGAGAACTGCCCTCTCTGCCCTTCACCAGGACCACACTTCTCTCGGTCACTGGATGCTGGCTGAGCTCTGCGTGTGTGTGTGTGTGTGGTGGGGGTGCAGGCATCAGTGAGAAAAACCAGCCAGAACCCTGCTCTGCCACAAGGCTGAGCTCACTGGGTGCCTGTGGGGGAGGGGAAAGAGCAGAGCCACAAAGAAGGAGGAAGAAGCAGATTGTCCCCATCCTAGTGACCGGAGGCCTGCAGATGGGGACGTGAGCTCAGCTTCTAGGGAGGGGTGGGGTGAGACAACAGGAAATACTTCCTAGCTCCAGTACCGGGGACCCCAGGAGAAGCACAGACTGGCAGACAGGAAGCTTACTTTGGCTCTGAGGGGGGCCAGCTGAGGGCCCCTGGGTCCTTCCCTCACCTATAACCCCAGGACATGGAAGCCCTTCCCCCCTGGGTCCTTGTGAAGCACCCTTGAGCCAACTGGGATGAAGGAACTCGGCAGGGCAGGATGGTCAGGGGTGTCGGCGAGGTGGCTGGGTCACTGCCAGGCTGGAAGGGCCTCTGCTGGGAGAGTGGTCCAAGTCCCCACTCGACAGGCCAGGACAGTGGGGCCCAGACAGGTGGAGAGCCCACGCAGGGTCACAGACCACGTGGGCTCCCGGCCACCCACCCTTGTGCTTCTGGCAAGTTTGGCTTGAGTCCCCCGCTTCCCCAGGGAAGCCACGCACCGGCCCACGCCCTCCCTGGTTGAGGGCTTAGTGGTCAACCCCTTATTTGTGTCAGCCCTAAGCTCCTTTCCCAGGGAACTGGGCTAGGAAGACGAGCTGGGCCAGGTGATCCTCGCACGGATGTTTGCCAGGTTCTTCTGGGCTTAAGGGCTGTTAGGAAAACTCAAGAAGGCTGATAAGTTCTTGGACTTGGGCCCGGAGCTGGGGAACGACCTCACCTTCCTGCCCTCAAACTACCAGCCCCCACCTGAGCTGCCCTCTTCTCCTTTCCCACGGAGGTGATGTTCACCCTTCCATCGTAGCCAGGCTGCGTGCTGGGGTGACAGGCCAGCAGGCCCTCTCTGTGCCTTCCCATCCGACCCTGGTATCTCCCCACCCCCACCCCCGCTGCCCCGGCTCCTCCTCAGCCTGTTTTCAGGACCTTTGGATGCAGAGGCCTCAAGGCCGTGGCCTGGCTCTTGACATCTCACACCCCTGCCCTCCAAGCTCTGCTGCCCTTCCCCCTCCTCCCATCTTATCTTTGAGCCCATCTGTCAGATGCCTCCAATTTAAAAGGGGCTAAAGATGAAATAATTGCCAACTGCTGTGAAGGGAGAAAGCCAGGCGGGCGGGACTGGGCCGGAGCACCAGGCTGGGAGCTCGTGGAAGAGGCACCTGGCAGGAAGGGCCATTTGAGCTGCGGCTCCAAGGTCAGGTGGAGTCACGCAGCCAGCCCCCAGAGATCTGGACAAAGGGCACCGCTGGCAAAAGTGAGGAGGCTCAGAGGCCGGAGAGAACTCGGGGCTTCTGGGGAACAGAGAGAT